GTTATCATAGTAATGTCTTCAATAATACGACACCTGTCTTTCAAACAGTGCCGTGGCAGCGCAAAAATGAGAATAGAAATAAAACGTATTGAATATTATATAAATTAACATCGTAACCCAAAATTACAGTTCCAGCCAGAAAAATAGTATGGTATTTTAGATATTTTTTACTAATATGGTGGACGATCGACAATTTAAAATACCGTAACTCTCGGAAAGCCATAGAATTTTTATTAATTTTTAGCAACGCTTATAGATTAGATTACTGTCGCTTTTTAATAGTAATGCTTTTTAAAAACGTCCCCGTTGAACTGCTAACATGCGGCGAAGTTGAAACACCATAGGGTTTTAGTAGTAGTATGTGCGAATCCGTCATAACCAAAGACATTTAAGTAGTAGTAGTAATAGACCGGATATCAGCAACAAAATTGTCGTCTGTAACTTTTGTCCTATAGGATATATCTCCGATTTTTGTCATTTAGTCTTAGTGACATCGTCAAAAGGTCAAGACGAAATCGCTTCGTAAATTTCATTGAAGTAATATGTACTTACGTACTAGAACAGCTATTTAACGAAACATCTGTTCTAGTGCGTTCTTAGTGTGTTCGCGCGGTTGGTTTTTTTATCATAGAATAAACATAGGTAGAATGATCAGTACGTAATAATAAATTGTATTGTTAAGTATGTAAATTATATCGAGAACAATTTTCAAATTTTGTCATATATTTTGCATATTATATTTGCTTATTTAATTTAATATTATATCACAATTACATTTTAATGATATTTTATCTGAATATTTTAAAAGGTATCTATGTCAAATATAAAAAACATACTAAATGTATGTTTAACAAAACTTATTAATATAAAATTTAAATTTTATTTATTTATTTAAATTAGAATAAGAGTCATTCATAAATGCTGGGCACGCGAGAGTTAAAAATGGACGAATTTATTCCACTTTGACTTTGATGTGGAAACCTAAAAATATAATTATATAAAAGAATAATGAGCAGATTTAAATAAAAAATTGGCCTAATTAATGATAACTCATATATGTTTCTACAAAAAAAAGTGTATATAATATATTCGTCCTATACTTAAGCTATGTACCCACAAAAATATCGCATCTGAACAAATTAATTTCATAATCTATATTACATGACACAAGACGGCGTCTTAGGAATAATTTGTTTTATTATTAATTTATAATATTTTTTAATTGATTAAGTCTCTTATTAACTGATGAAAAGTAATACCTTGGTTTTACTGACATTTCTTGAATTATTTGTGCAATATCTAAGTACACCCGACGGCATATTTTTATTAAGAGATTTTTTTAAATCAACACAACACGTGACAACTCTACAAGCGCCTAGCGAGTGACTGATTAAGGTGCGGTGTATGCACCGCAGTTAAGTGGAACAGAATAGCTGAATGCAGTGTCGCCTCCAGTACGTAGTACATAATAGCTCAATGGTAAATTTAAAAATTATTTTTAAAAAAAATATGCCCTGTTGTGCATTAAGATATTATAAGTCACGATATGGAACAAAAAATGAACGTGATATCGGTTTATTATCGTAATTATAACGTATGCTTACAAAATAATCTTTTTTTAATTTAATAAATCTAGTAGTAATATCTCAAAGTAATATATCTAGTTGATTTTTCTAGAACATTTATTATTTTGTCATAAGCGCCCTCTGTTATCCAGTAGTGTCACTATTTATTTACAAATGTGTTAGGGATTGACGATTGGCGTTATCGATAAAAAAATACAGAATGCCGATTTAATCATCTACAATATTTAAGGAGGTGAAACAGTCAACGATACTGTACCCATACTAACAAAGATGAGTAGCACATACCAACTATGCTGAGTAGCTTACTTTATGTGGAGAAAGGGTGGGAAAATGTTTGGTTACGCATGCTAATGAAAATTTCTGTGTTGCTTTTAAGCATGCTGATGATACTTGCTGTACTTTTACACACCGGGCTTCATTGTCTGGTGGTTTTCAAAGACGGAGCCTTATAGATCCTGGTTTACACTGATAGGGGAGGGCTATAGGTTTGTTACATTAAAAGTTATTTACACTGTTAAAGATATAAGATGCAAGAAGTTGTAGGTTAAGCCTGAGTTTGGAACTAAGGTAAAAACTTAAAGTGACGGTTTTTTATTGATTTGGGTCTGTAAGTATTGCATCTCATTAAATTGACATTATAACATAAAATTTACAAACTAAACTGTTCTATGAACCGGCATTATAATTATGGTCTTTGTATAAGCACGTATCTGGTAATTTTAGGTTTCCATCAGTTAATACCGCTGTGCGTGAAAAGTGGATACGGTTTGTCCAAATAGAGCGCAAAGAATAAAATTGGCTTCCATCTACTATATTATTCAATCTTTTCTTGACATCACCTTTTTATAATTTCAGAATAATGAAACAAATGCGGAGGCTACCAGAGTTACACCAATCAGTGTTGTTGTATCAGACTCTGAGTCAATATTTGATAGTCCGAGGAAAATTGCATTGAAGTTGCAAGTTCGCAATTTACAAAAACAAAATATACGCCATAAGGCTATATTTAAAAAACTAGGCCAACAAAATAAATATATCAAACGGAAAATATTAAACTTAAAAGATTATTTAAACATTTAGTAAAGAAGTTTGATATTAAAATAAATATGGTTAATTCCTTAAATGCTACAGTAGAAACGCAAGCCGTCTATGATAGACTTAATAAGCAATCGACGAAGGCAGGATTATCTTGTCGTAAATTTAATCCTTCTGTTCATAAAGAAGCATTCATTGCTCTAACTCTCCATTATTACTCTCCAGCTGCTTACAAGTATGCTAGAAAATGTATTTTTGTAAAAGAAACGAATTCAAAAACATAGAGGCGATCTCTTATTGCATTTGGCGTATCTCGATATGCTATTATTATAGCATCTAATGAACCGAGTGACATCATCCAAGATGCCACCAATGTGGCTGCTGTTTGAATTGATTCTTAGTTATTGGAAATTAAGTATTTTATTTCATAACAGTGTGTGTGGCAGTGTGTGTGCGTAGTGTGCGTGTGAAGTGGCGTAAAAAGTTAATATGATTTTATGTGTGATAGAAGCCATAATAATTAGATTTATACAATAAAACAATCATGCATATTCCCTACTATTATATCGTAATGCATTTCTAACTTAGTAACCTTCAACAACGTTATCGATACTTTGATGTCGAAACGGGAACATTAAACTAAAAAAAAATCGTAATCACAGCCAGCCAGGTACTATACCGCAGGGAATAGGGCTGTATAAACTTAAAGTTACAGTCTGTATACGTCCCACTGGTGAGCAGAAGCCAACCCTTAGTTCTGAGAGGGTTTTAGGGCAAGGAAGTGTTCGGCGTAAGGCAGCATGACAGTTTTTAATTTTAATTTTTGTTTAAGCCAATTTCAAAAAGGAGGAGCTTTCTAAATTTCTAATTCAGCTACGTAGTCGAAGAAAATATATGAAGAAGTGGACAACATTTTTTGTTTTTATATGTATGATACGCATTACGCAATATATTAGTCAATTGTGAAACAATTTTTATGGTTATTCTTTTATTAAATTGGTAATACTATACTGAAACTTCAGTGGTGATTCGGCAACATTTAGAGAAAAAAATTCCACACCCAAGGGTGGCAATTCGAACTTTGTCATTGAAACTTTAATATACAAAGTAATATAAAAATGTAAAGAAAAAGTAAGAGAAGATTACTAGTAACCCTGTTAATCGCAACAGAGTTGGTTCTCAAAGCTCACAAATACATAACGAATTGCAAACTAATTTAAACTCCACTGATACGTCAATAAAAAAAAACACTTTATGGAAACTACACGTCAATTTACTTATCTACTTTTCTTACTTCTTAACTACTTTATGTAATGCAAATATACGTACTAATACATTTTCAATTATTATTCGTTTTAAACTTAAAAGGCACATTTCATTATAATCGAATAAAAATGTTATACTCTTATATTAAACATCTAGAAACTCTTTAGGAAGAGTGCATCAATACAGTACTTAATACTCTACTCGTAAAAAACGGGCGGATTCGATAATTATCAAGGCTACTCTATAAAGATATGCCACATGTTTAGTGATGTGGAAATTGCAAGGCAACTTGTGAATACATTTCAATAATAAACGATTGCAAAAGATTATTTTCAAAGAAAAATTTTTTGACGAACGGATATTGTCAATATCACCACTTCATAACATGGGGCAATTTAAAAACATCGAATGTCGTCAGTATGTGAAAGCCCTTAGGGACAGCAGCCTTACAATTTCAAGACTTCTTGATACTTTATGGAAATAAAAAATTCTCACTTGATATGACATATGCATAACGATGAGTACCTTATGTGTAAATAAAATAACTTTACTATCGTAATATAACCTAAACACTCACGCCTGTCATCCGGAGGGGTAGGCAGACACAACGAACTTCTATTTGGTAGGATCCTGACACACTTCTCTCGTCTCTTTTACATCCATATACCTACACATACATGCTCGTTTAGTTTACTTAAGTCCCTAAAGAGAAGTGTGAAGAATCGTTGACTTTTTGTCACTGAATTGTTTGTACAAAGGAAAACAATTAGAGAATTCACAACAAAAATAGATACGATAAATGGTAATAACTAACCAAGTTTCAGTCTTTTTAATAATTCTGCACATTACTTGTTTTGACATCGGAAACGACATGTATTACAGATCAAACTTTGCTATGTTACGTCTACAGATACAACAATTACATACTTTTTATATACATAATAAGATTTAGAGGTTGGTCCATTAATTAGTAAATGGTAAGTACTGTACTTTGAACGCTTACACACGTTAAAAAATAAATAGGTTATAATATACTAATTATTTAGCAGGTGCTGTAACAACTGATATCAACTAATACCATATATATGTACAATAAATAAAATCGCATGACTATCACCATGTATTTTGTCCATTGCTTAGACTATCTGGACTAGATGTATTGGATCCATTTAATAGGGAGTCGTCTCCAGCGTCCTCTTTATTTATCACTTCCGCTGGATGGAGGCAGAAGGGACAATGTCCCTTGGAAACCAGCTGTATTTCATAGTCTTCCATATAGAACAGCTGTAACAATAAATAATTATTATGAAATAGCTATTAATCGTCACTAGTTCTACATAATTAACGTTGCACAAATTCCGACTTGTTAATAAAACTACCGAAGCGAGGAAATTCATTTTAAATAGTCTCATTCCGCACCCTGTTTACGATCGTAACTTGTTTTATAGCTCGATTACTAAGAAATAAAAAAATATATATAAAAACTAAAAAATGTGAGCAAATTCACTTCGAACACTTACGGCTTTAATTATTATAGTCGTTGATTATCTCTTACATATTCATTATGTGTATACTTGTCTCTTTCTCATTGTCATTTACCTAGTAAAGCGAAAAGGAGAGCATTTTAAGCACTTCTTAAATTGACATCAATTTTATGAATGAGACCGTTAATCATTCAATCGCGAACTCCATTGCGCAGTGGCTTGGCATTAAGTGGTGGCGCAGAGTCGCGGGCTCGAATTCCGTACGGAACTTGTTTTTGTATGGCCTTCATATAATAAATTGTTGCGAGTCTGGATCTTTGTCCGTGCGCAATTTGTGTTTATTAACTGCTGCCACGATATTGGGGAAAACCCTCAGAGGTTACATATTTTTTAAAAAGTGAAAGAAGAATCACGATGAAAAAAAAACGACGGGTTGCACTCCGAGAGTCCCGGCGGAAGTGAAAACTTAAATATTAACGTTGTGCATTTTTGATATTTTGGAATGGTTAGGGAATAATTTTGCACGAATTGCTTTAATTATCAGTACAAAAGTACTATCATTTATGAGGTAGAATACAATATTTATTTATTGGGCTATCGTACACAATTAAACGATACAGCAGGCGCAGGCATACATTTTTGCCGCTCCGTAGAAAGAGAGGGGGATACTTCCTCTCCTACGCCCCGCCGGCTGTCTCTCCCTCCATCCGTTTTACGAATTTCCGATCAGGTCACGTGTCCTGACGCGAGTTTAACATTTTTTACCCATTACAAAAAAAGTGTACAACGCCGCTAAAGAAGTTTTCACTTCAAAAATTCCGCAACCGCAAACCAAACGGCTGCTCTAATTGTTCTTACAGCTTCTCAACTTCTCGAGCTTTGCGTTTAAATTTATTAAACGTAGGATTAAAAGAACTTACATGTTGGCAATGAGGACAAGGTGCCACCGGTAGTTCGGGCAGCATATTACGGTAGAAGCGAGGCGGTAGCGGCGGCCGTAGTATCGTCACCACACTAGCGGGGTTCAGCCGCAAAAGAGCGTTGCGACTGCATACCACAACTCCTGTTTCGTCTTCCTGATTGCAATGCAATAATATTTTCTCATTAATAACATACATTTGTAAAGGTTAACGGTCAGAGACTGTCAGAAAACATAACACTACACTTGTCACGTAGCGTAGAAAACACCAGTGCTATTCAAAAAAATCTTCTTTTTTAATTAAGTTATACTCAATTTGGTTGGAATTTTGAAATTTTACTTTTTTATTTACTGCGCGTTGCTTACGCTAGGCAACGGAATAAATATTCTACTTCTTATTTTTTTAATGTAAACAACAGGTTTAGGTAAACCTATTATGTTAGGTAAACCCAGTAGGTTTAGGTAAACCCAATAGGTTTAGGTAAATTAGGTTTAATGTAAACAACAATAAAGGGCAGTTGGTTAATCGTGGTAAAAAAAAAACTAATATCTTTTGATGTTTGTTTTTAATAGAATAAGGGTGACAAACGAACACTCAGTGCGTATGATGTTAAGTGGATGCTGTATCCCATAGACGCGCCGACATCTATCCCAAATGTAGATGTGCTGTCATCTCTGAGTAAGTACGAGTATACCAGTAAACAGGGTGTCCAGTTCTTTGCACGAAACCCAGCAGCATTAGGCCATTATTTTTATTGCTATTTATATTGGTTTTATTAAGTCTTATTCGTATCACGGCTTGATGGCGCAGTGACGTAATGTTTCGTCACTGCGCTTTAGTTGGGCGCTACTAGCAGCGATTTCGAATCCCACACGGAGCAAATAATTGTATGTCCTACAAATAATTGTTTGGGAACCTTGTGCTCAGATTTGTCGTAATAAATAAAATTAAAAAATATATATACTTTTGATATCAGCGACGTAACCGATGACTGTCCGCATTATGGCGTATTTAAAAAATTGGAATAAACTATTTAAAACTAAATTACGCAAGTAGACCCAATAACCAATATTGGTACCTTAAAATAGAATCCGTTTCTCTCCATTCATAGACTATGTATATGTATACATCCATGCATACACTTATTACCCGTGCTTGAGTACTTTTAACTTCCGTGAATAAAGCAATAACTTTACTCCGGTGGTCTTCATAACTTTGAGACTCTTTATTTTACCCCAAAGATGAAAAACTAGCGGTGAAAGGTCTGTTGTGTTTGCAAGCCATAGTATAGGGCCATCATGCGCAATCAACCTCTCTTCATATTTACTATTTAAACTGTACTTGAATATAGTGATTAGTTGCCAATTGTTCTTCGATTGGTAGGTACACGTACGTGTAAGTTAATTACTTACCGCAGTAAAGACTCACTTTCGAATAATCTTTACGCACCACGTAAAATTTCATTGCTTAAAATGTAACATGTGTGGACCATTACATAGTATTCGCGGTTCAAATACTCACGTTCTGTCGTTACTGCTTTCTTGTTTTAGTTCTGGCGGAGGCAGTAGAGTCCAAGGGGGAAGTATTGGCCGTTAGTTTGGACATTGCGAAGGCCTTCGATCGGGTTTGGCACAAAGCGCTTCTTTCGAAGCTCCCTTCCTATGGGCTTCCCGAGAAATTGTGCGATTGGATCACCAGCTTTCTCGCAGATCGGGACATCAAGGTCGTTGTAGACGGTGCAAGCTCCGATTGCAAGCCTATTAATGCTGGTGTTCCACAAGGCTGCGTGCTATCGCCAACGGTGTTTCTTCTGCATATCAATGATATGTTGCAAACCCGTAACATTCATTGCTACGCAGATGACAGCACTGGTGATGCTCTTTACACCGGCCGAGCCAATATTTCTCGGGAAAACGTCTCCGAGTGCCGGGACAAACTTGTGTCTGAAGTCGAGTCTTTGCTGAACAGTCTCGGATTGGGGGCGACTAAATCTAGTCCAGTTTAACCCCCAGAAGACACAAGTTTGCGCGTTAACCGCTAAAAAGAACCCCTTTGTCGTATCTCCTCAGTTTCAAGGCACTCCCCTTGTTGCCTCAGCCAGTATTGGAATCCTCGGCGTCGACATATCGAGTAACGTGCAGTTTCGTGTTCACTTGGAAGAGAAGGCCAAATTGGCCTCTAAAAAGCTTGGCGTGCTCAGCAGAGCGGGACAGTATTTCGTGCCGGCACACCGCCTGCAACTTTACAAGGCGCAGGTTCGGCCGCACATGGAATACTGTTCCCATCTCTGGGCTAGGGGTCCCCAGTACCAGCTCCTTCCACTTGACCGCATCCAGCGCAGAGCGGCTCGAATCGTCAACGACCGAGTGTTTTCCGATCGGCTCGATTCACTGGCACTGCGAAGAGATGTTGCATCTGTAGCGGCGCTGTCGTCGCGCCACAAACGAAATAAACCGAAGCTTAAATCACGCTATCAACATTCCGAATCAGAAACAGTATATATAGAACATCTCCGAACTATCACTCGGAGTGTCGGCCGCTCCCCCGGGCAGAACACCTTGCCCGGCGGGGAGATCTCCCCTTTTCCTTTCTACGGCCACAGTGGTGACCCCGACGTGATCTGAACACGCAACCAACAACCTTCGGAAACTACAACTTTCAAGCCTTCATTATCCTCAAGAACCCCTACCATTCACTACTGAGAATCGTCTTCTGCAGTCTTCATATCCTGCAAGCCATCTAGCTTCACAAGGTTCATCGCAGCACTGGAATAATAATACTTCCTGTTCCTTCAAGCTACTCTCTGCGCCATACAGTGTTCGGCACGGCTCTGAGCCTCACTGCTCGCCTCTGCTTCACGGCACTCTCGCAGATTACTTGCCTTCTTCTCGACTCACCGCAGACTACAAGGCAATCTCCTGGCACTTGCACATTCGTCGGCAACGAGGCTGCACTATCGACCTCCGGTCTGAGCAGGGGGTGATGTAGCGGCGCTGTCGTCGCGCCACAAACGAAATAAACCGAAGCTTAAATCACGCTATCAACATTCCGAATCAGAAACAGTATATATAGAACATCTCCGAACTATCACTCGGAGTGTTGGCCGCTCCCCGGGTAGAACACCCTGCCTGGCGGGAGATCTCCCCCTTTCCAACCACGGCCACACATCTCTTTGCATTTTCTTTCGTATATACCATGGGGAGTGCTCTGAGGAATTGTTCGGATTAATCCCAGCCACCAAATTTCGTGAACGCACTACGCGGCAAACGTCGCGATACCATCCACATCATCTGGATGCTTGGCGGTCCACCACTGTACGTTTCAAGAGGAGTTTTCTTCCGCGTACAACCTCTCTGTGGAATAGTTTACCACCAGCGATTTTTCCGGACCGATACGACCTGGGGACCTTCAAGAAAAGAGCTTACTCCTTTCTAAAGGGCCGGCAACGCACCTGCAATTCCCCTGGTGTTGCGGTTGATCATGGGCGGCGGTAGTTACTTAACATTAGGTGAGCCGCATGCTCGTTTGCCCCCTCCTCTATAAAAAAAAAGTAACGAAGCGGCACTAATATTAATAAGATATTGTTACGAGCTTAAGGTTCGTGACAATAAAAACTGCCGATTGAATTACCAAAATTGACACTTTAATTACCGAACAATCGATCCACATGGACGATCTTAGGAGTACCTCTTGCACCTTTCTGTATCCGGTAGGTTACGTCATTGATCCCTGTCACAATCCAGTAGGGCCGTCCCATTTAGCTTGAAGCTTAGGAGATTTCCCTTTGCTGCGGACTGGATTGTGCAACCACACTAGTGAACCTTCGTCGAACCCTTTGTTGTTCATTTTGCGGTCATACCGGGTTTTCATCTTTTCAGACATGCTGACCCGATTGTCTGACGTGCTCATCATTCGTTTTGTTGTTGGTCCGTTAACCTCGCCCTTGATGATTAGGCTATTCCCATGATGGATTTGTGAAATCGAAATCCTTGGGACTCTTTTTACATCAGCCAGCACCCGCCCCGCAGTCCTAGCTTTTACTCGTTTCCCTGCTGCAGCTGTGCGGTGCTGTTAGCCGCACTACGCTCTCGAGATCGATCATCTTCAGGGCAGCTGGATCAAAGATGACCCCTTTCCCCACAGCCATAGCACCTAGAGCGTAGTTGAGAGAGAGTTGCGGTCGCGACTGTAGCTGCTGCAACCTCCCTGACGCGATGGGAACGATGATCCTGCCGCACGGCTTTCACCTCCAGTGCACAGGCCAAGGCGTCCTTAAGCGTCTCGTGATGCCCGAGCTTCACAGCAGCTCTGACTTTAAGGTCGGGAATGCCGTCGATGAATATCTGCACTAGGTTCCCTCCAATGAGCGTAGGTACAGACCGGTACGCTTTTCGAACCAGCTTCTCCATCTCAAGGGCCCACTGCTGCAGGTTTTCGTTGATGCGCTGCAAGCGATCTTTAAGCTGCGCACGAAAGACGTGTTCCAGGTGAGCGTCGCCAAATCTCCCCTCCAATGCTTCAAAGAGCTGCTCGTAATTCTCTTCCTTACCGAGACCTTCCAGAGTAGTTAAGGCCTAGTCACGCAGTCCTAGTATGAGAGCAGTCATAGCCTGACTTTTATTCCAGCCGTTCGCCTTCATAAACTGGATTTTGTAGGCCAACCAGGAAGAAGTCCCGTCGTGCGGCGGTACTTTGAATCCACGTAGCGAAGGTGTAGTAGCTACTACGGGAGCTGTAGTTCCATCCCCAAATCTGAGTTCATCCAGTGACTTCTTCATGTCAGCTATCACGTTGTCAACCCGATTGTTCACTTGTTCGATTAGGGTTTCAGCTTCCAACAGGTGGTTGTCATGTTGAGTAACCCTATCCTTCACCTCCCTTATCTCTTTCCCTAAGGTAGCATGAAAGCCCTTCATGAGGAGCATCTGTTCTTCCTTATCGTGTTTGAGTTGCCCGTTCCCGTTCGGTCCGGGCCCGTTCCTGCAGCATCATCATCATAGCACCAGTCAGGTGCTGCAGATGTAGGAGCTGCTGACGGGCCGGCCTCCGTGGCCAGCGGCTGGCCCTCCGACGTCTGCAGCTTTGCATCACCAAATCGTCTCTGGTCCATCTCCTGCTGGTGTAGACTTCGGGTATGGACACTCTATGGGCATGATTTTATCCCCCTTCTGACACCAATTATTACGAGCTTAAGGTTTGTGACATTAAAAACTGCCGAATAAATTACCATAATTGACACTTTAATTATTGATACACCAATTAAAACTTAAAACACACTAAAAATTAATCACACTTAACACTTAGTTCGCAATTATATCGCTTCGAAATATTCACTTGTATCGCCAATTCAATACTGACTCGGTCGCGGTCCTAAACGCCTTTATATAGGACATTTTCTACTGAAACATCCAGAATGCTCGAGCACATACCGGTCCCGACCGACTAGGTGTAGAAAGTTCTCTCCCAGTTCCGCCATTCGATACTAGATGGCGCTAGTGGGAAAGTTCCAGCATGAAACTTTCTAGAAAGCTGTCCTCGCTCTGCTACCCAACACTAGATGGCGCTAGTGGCATTAATTTTGGTTTGCAACAATATTATTGCTATTTCTGTGGACACTACATACGAAAAATTAAAAATGACACACGTACGTGATGAGGTTACGTTCAACATTGTCAGCCTTCGGCTGGTCGGGCAGACATAGGTAGGACCTAGCGATATAATGGTTACAGGGAAGGCTGCGGAAAGACACGCGACAAGGTACCAACATTTTGTAACCGAGCGACCCTTACGAATGTATGCATGCGTAGTAAAATAGTAGCCTTTAGATAAATTATGAATAAAAATCAGTTAATGTGTTACCACGTATTCTGAATTTAAAAAATCAATGTTTGATATCTAATGTGTATAATAAAATTTGTATAGACACTGGTGGAGAGTTTTTTGAAAAGATTTAGTAAAAATTTCATGGTTAATGCTTTTAACGTCAGCCATAATACTTTTTAAAAATGCAAAACTTTCGAGTAATCCGCGTATACCAATAGTAAATTAAAAAGCGTAATAAGGTAAACTAGTACAAGAGGCTGCAACGTTCTTCTTAGTTTTTTTTAAGCTAATACAAACCTCGTCAACTTTATCCAGGAATGGGTCTGAAGATTCAATGTCATGGTCTATTCGAAGAATTTCAGCATCTCCTGTATCCTCCTTCGTAGTATTTTCGGGAAGAGTTGTGCGATCTATGAGATCTAATGCTTCTTCAATAGATATACCTTCCGCTGGTTCGAATTGGACCAATGGAAGAACTTCTATACAAAACAAAGGTAATGATTATTTTATTTTCATTTGATGTGACTTATTTTAAAATCGGATTTTTATACTACAACTACAATAAAGATATACGAGGACATAATTGGTTAAAACATATGTTATAATTCAAAGGAAACAGTAAATGTCAGTAAATGATCGTCTAATCCATTAATATAATTAATAAGATTAAAATTCTTATTCAGAATAGAGCCGTTGATGATCAATTAAATTTTTAAGGTAATGTTGAACACTGATTTACCATGTGCTCGGTAGTAAAACATATTTTGTGTTATTACATAAAATGTTTTATAATTAGTCTAAAGTTTAAAGTAGTTTGTTTTATAAAGAAGTCACGTGGAACATTTGCGAACTAAAATATAAAGTACAGAATTTACAGCAAATGTTAGTAAAATTTTGCGAAAAATGTGGCGCCACGGCAAGTAACTTCTTTCGAGACAAAGACTCTTCTTAAAACACGAGACTATCAAATTTTACTGGTGGTAGTAGTTGTTTGAGTATGTCACCCTCTTATCTATTTCTGTTGTCAAAAAGCAGCGCTTACATGCAGTGAAGTGGACGCAATACTTGCAGTATAGAGGCAGTACACGGTGGAGGCATGTACTAGCACAACTTAGTCCTCAGAAGTGACGCATCTATAGCTTTCCTTAATTGAAGTTGTCTGCATATGTCCAGGGACTGGAGTTACCACTCAGGCCGTCAGGCCAAGGAAACCGAAAACTGATGAAAAGAAACTATGGTGGGCTTGTACTGGCACCAAAGTAAGTCTGGCTCAACAAGCAGAGTGAACTCGCTAGGTAATCCTAATGACACATGGCGCCTTCCCCATTTTTGCAGATATATGCAAATTAGTCTGTATTCGCTTCGTAACTATTCATAGGTATTTATAGGTGTCTGACTGCCTCGTTGGTCTAGTGGTCCTAAATGCGATTGCAGATCATGAGATCCTGAGTTTAAATCCCGGGTCGGGCCAACCTCAGTCATTGGGGTTTTCTATTAAGAAATTCTCAGTAGCAGCCTGGAGTCAGAAAGCTAGGGGTCGCAATACTCTGTACTGACCGTGAGTAGCGAGCGAGTGCGTGAGTTCGTGGTGACAATGCGGGCAGTTCGTTGCGCACAACGGTGGAGCGTGTCGACGACAACGCCAGCATAACGGAGATACTTCTTCATCTTGATTTTCGTTACCGGTGGCACTGGCGCGACTCTTCAATATCAAGAGTTCAACGCTTTCCTGATGAACATTAATAACCACATAGCGCATAGCAACAGTTTGGATTATAGAATTCCTTATACCACGGCCTGGAATCCGTGGGCTACTAAGTACGTAAATCGATATAATATAGGTTGTAATTTTTTTTGACCACTCTATGTATTTGAAACACCAAACATTTCTTAATTATTATTAATTATAAAATGATCTAATTAAAAACATTACACTGCGTCACCATCGCCAATGCACTTTTTTACCTTATTATTCTAGTGCTAGGTAAAGTAGTAAACTGTATGTAAAATCAAATTTTGTCTTTTACTATTTTATCATATTGTCATATCATTATGATAAAAAATAATATTGTAATTTTGTAATTTTAATTATTCCATTGCACGTTGACGTAATATTTGCATACCGATAAACCGGTAAAACATGCATGTACACACTATTTTATGAGACCTAAAAATGTACCATGTTTTATGCAAATAAATATTTATTATTATTACTTTTATTTACTACTAGTTACCGGCCCCGGCTTCGCCTAGTTGGCATCTAATTATGTGTTGTCATTTATATTTTTAAAACTAATTATCAATGACCATTTGTTTTATATATGTTTCCATTTTACAAAAACTAAACTCCGAGTTTTTAGAATTAAATATAGCTAACATCTCTGTCTGTCATCATCAGTTCGTGAAGAGGCAGACAAACAAACAAAAAAGACAGACTAAAATTGTACAAAAGGTTATTCATGCCCTAATGGTATACAAATAAGTTCGATTAGCTCGAGGAACTCCATGAAAGGCATTTATTTTTATATTATATAAATACACTTCAATTTAATTTGTATGTGTACGTGTATAGACAGCTATAGATTATTATCATCGTTTATCAAATCACAAGTCGCTTCTAGAAATAAATGTTATCAATTTACAAATAATATTTCAATTCATAATTAAAACATGCTTATCACTATTAACAAGCTTATCACTATTTTTGAAGACTTTACGAATTAATCAGGAGTATGTACGTACCTGAAACTTCGATGGTATTTGGAGATTAAGAATTTTGTCTAACATCTGCTGAGCTAATGAATTTGCGTTTAAAGTCTTCGCCTGTTTGGCTATGCACAAATATAAACAACTTTCGTAATCGTTTAGGAAAATATTTTGTAACAAAACTACAGTATTTTGAAGAGGACAGTAAGTGCAAATTCAGAAAAATAGAAAATAGTCATACTTTAAATACTAGAAATAAAAACAAGCTTGTAATGTCAGTTCCAACACTAAGAAATTTATCAGTTTTGTAATTTATTAATGTATGTTATGTGCAGAGATAACAAATGCAGCCAGTTTAAAGAAGTCGTAGGCGTAGGAACTCAGTGTGCTTGGACGATCGGACCTAAGTTGTAACTGATATTGTAATGTCGTTTAATTAATAAATTTATATTTTTTATTTATAAAAAGTTATTTATCGTTAAGTAATTCGTGATATTGCTTTTAAAACAAATTCCTAGAAAATTTTAAGTGGTGGTTAATCAAGAAATTAAAAAAATAACTCCTGTACAACATCATAGTAAAGTTTTATGCTTATCCCGCTGGGTCTTACTGGGCATTTCCCATAGTCATATCCTTTGACACCGACGAAATGATAATCATGTGACAATGGACCAATGGATACTCTGACGCCGCTAAATATTACTTAATTATAGTTAATTACTGCTTATTTTTAAAGTATTTTAAGCAGACAAAATAAACAAAGAAAATTATTATTAAATATTATTGTAACTTTGTCTATAAATAAATATTAAATATATCCTAAATGTTACGATAGAGGACTAAATATTATTTAATATATGGCAGTATGAATACACACATAGCTTTATTAAGGCCGAATACGACGCGATTGACCTTGCTCGTTTTGCAGCAAACCACGCGCCGTCTATCGAACATCACGTGTGTTACCCGTACGCTTTGTTTATATAGACATGTATAATATAATCAAAGCCGTACGGGTTTTGATTATATTTGACTGAGCTAGCTCAGAATACAGAGTAATGAACAACACAGAGAGCATTGCTTACTTCTTAATTAAATCTTTCTTATTTATAATATTAGTTCCTATAGATTATAAATTCTGTACTTCTCGTACTTCTGTACATCTGTACTACTCGTTATAAAATATTGTTCGAAAAGTTATTGAATTGCATCGTACGTAAAGAACCTCATATAACTGAAAATGTTTGTTCTTGTGAGTTTTACAAGATGCCGTAATGCAAATTGCATAAATAATAAAGGAAAAAAAAAACTAAAAAGTCGGTGATTACCCCATAGTGGGGATAGGTACTGTGTATGTAAATTCTCACAAGACTACTACGACTGGTCAATCACTTCACATCCGAAGTATTTCGGTTTTTCTTAATTATGTATTTACCCCATGCTTTCGGACAATACATTGACTATGGCATTATTTGCGGTCTCTGTGCTCGCACTACTCTGTACATTCTTTTCCGACTCGGTCGTGATATTTACATTTTAGTGTTTCTCACTTGCCTAGAAAAGTATAAATGATCAGTTTGGCTAATGTAAATGAGTAAAAATGCAGCCTATTAGGCAGCCTCAAACAAAAAATTACCTTACAAAAAATATAAGTAACCCCAAAATACAACATTCGAGCAGCATTCATGCGATAAACTCTCTTTGTTTTACCACTTAGGTAACATTTATTTCTTTTCCTACCCATATTCACATTTATAGTCAATCAAACGCGTATAAAAAACTAAATTAACGATTTTTCCTACAGAACGACTGTTGTCACCTTACGTCACACGTCGAAGCGTCTGGTAATTTATTACGGCAAACTTTTATCTGGCAATATACGATATTATTTTTAGATGTTTTTAATTAAAACGAATTATGTTAATAAATAATATTTTGTATCGAAAATAAAGACGACAGTCACCTTCGAAATCACAATACAAACATTTTTACGTAAAAGAATTTTTCCTAAATTAAAATTCATAGAGTTTTGGAAGAACAATCATTTTTAAATATCATTGCTTAACATTTTTTTATTTGTTGGTATATTCATTTATTTTAAATTTTTAAAACAGCGGGCACCTTGAGAAGGAGCCGAATAAACCTACAAAAATGTTTTAACGGTTAGAATTACTTCAGGTTAAAGTTGTAGTGAAGAGAAATACATTAAATTTCGCCAGTTCTCTTCGTATTCGGCCTTAAGTGTTTACTTATAGTGCAAGGCATCATCAGTATAATATCAGTTAACTTTGGTTATTACTACATACTGTCATTGAAAAGCGCATGACGTTTTATCGCTTATAACACGAAAATCGATGCATGCGATGCAAATCCATGGGGTTGGGTTCGTCAAAAAACCGACAATAGGCAGAGCACAGACGAGCACGAACCAAACGCTCGAAGCGCGCTCGTTCGAGGCTTGTAAGTCGGTCCACACTACACGAGTTTGTGATCAGCTGATATTCCGTTTGAGCTCGGCTAGTCTAGCGTAAACCCACCTTTAGGGTTCAGTTGCGATCACTATAAAATCTGTAAAATGCTGGGTTTTTTATAGTTTTGGGTGACAAACGAGCACACAGTCCATTTGATGGTAAGTGGATGCTGTGGCCCATAGACAACCGCATTTATCCTCAATTGTGAATCAAAATGCAAATGCGTTGTCACCCCTGAGGACTAAGATAGAATGCGTCGATTCCAGTAATGAGGGTATCTGGTTTTCTGCACTCACCATACGAAACACAGCAGCATTACGCTGCTACTTTACGCTGTATTCTGTGAGAGCGTGGTTCTGCCCCGGTCGAGCCAACCCATTCATGCTACAACTATAATATAGTTGCAGCGTGGCTGTACCACGTAAAATAGGTGTTGTTAAAGTTATATTTCATAATTTTATTTGTTTTATATAATCACATAAAACGTATCTTATGCGGCTTTTAACAGATACCGGAAAATCTAAGTACTTCCATACCACCAACCATAGCAGGTCGATAGTGAGAATCACTTTCTAAGACTCGATAATTTTATACAAGAAATTACTACCTACATTTATTTACGACACAAACATTATTGTATGGCACAGTATGAGTTTAATTTTTCATTTATTACATATAAGTAAATGACCAATTAATGTCGGATTAGAGGGCAGAACCTTAAGCGGTTTTTGGAAACCCTCGGTGATAAAAAGGATACAACATAGAGATGCCGGGCGGAGGTTCGGCCTGCAGCCTTGCGAGCGCGTACCTCGCGGCATTGAGCAGTGCGTCGGGCTGGCTGAGGGAAAATGGCTCGTGCACGCAACGATGCGCCGCTTCGTATGCGTGGTACACGAGCGACAAGCGCGCGTTTTCACAGTACCGACGCAGCGCCGACTCGCGATCCCTAAGCAAGTATTGAAGTTTGAATAATGACCAGACAAAATACACACAGGTAATGAAGGAAACGAAATATTCATCTGTTAGTGTAACTCGTTTATCACAAAACTAATAGTCAACATCAATTATTATCATTATTACCATAGAAAACTATAATACACAATAAAATGGATTTGTACGAGGATAGGCGTCGCCGGGAACACACATACAAGAAATTAAGACGTATTATCACTACTACAAACCCGACTCGTTGTGTTGACAGATAGATTTTAATACATATTTATTTGTAAATAGCATGCAATTTGGCATTTTCTAAATAATTTGCATGCGAAATATGGAAACGATTGTAATGTCAAAACACATCTCGTGTTGACATTTGACGTGTTAGTGACATTTTAGTGGCTACACGGGCTCCGCCCACTCCCCCGTTCTATTATGTATGTAATTATAGTATTCTATGATTATTACTATCACTACAGCACGTTTCAAGTTTACAACTGAACATGGGCTCTCCAACAGATTGTCATTAAGTCCGGTCTCGAGTCATCTATATTGTTCAATACAATAAGGGTACACCTGATAGTAAGTGAACGCTGTGGTTCATAGACATGTATATTTATGCTCGATTAAGAATCAAAATGCAAATGCTTTGTCACTCCTGACAACTAATATGGGACGCCTCGTTTTCAGTAGAATATAGGTTCTCGAAGGTTTCGAAATACAGCAAAATAAACTATTCCGTTCGAGCTGACCCATTTATGCTACAACCACAATATAGCAACTCTGGCTGATTTTGGACACAGCGACACCTCCCAACTAAACTAAGCCACAAGTGTGCATGCTAACACAGAGATTCATTCGTCTGTCATATCATCATCACATTATTATGTTATCATTCACTGCACAATCACGGTAAATATGTGTCATAAGTTTTAATTCGTGGCACAGCCACACTACGACTTTATTAAGGCTGAAGCATGAATGGGTTGGCTCAAACAGGAAAGGACATCATCATCATTACAGACCACCAAAAGTCCATTGGTGAACATAAGCCTCCCCCAAAGATTGTTTGTTTAATTTCTTTTTTGTTTTAGAGTTTATATGTTATTTAGTTTTTTTTTTCTTCTCTTATAATGATGTATATGCCTGTAAAGACATATCCTTTATCTAAAAATGTAGTATTTTGATTGTAACAATGATTACTGATATTGTCGATGGTGTATCTATTTAAATAAATAATAAATAAATAAAGATTCCCTTAGTTAGTTATTGCCAAGTTGGGTTATTAAAAGCTGCCTGCTAAGCTTTGCAGACAGCTTAATAACCGATGTTTTTTGAACCAGCAAATACCAGCGTTAAATAGTAACACAATACTGCTATGTTTCAAGTAGTGAGTGTTGAAGGTGAAACAAAGCATTTTAATTTTACATAACTCCTCTAGGATCATTACGCACTTGCATTTGATTCAAAACCGAGATAAAGTTGGTAAAAAATACTTCGCTTACACGAGTACCACTAGTGTAGTAAGGACACAGCACCGACAATACTATAGTATTATAACTTGGTGGTGATAGGGATAGTAGACGTAATTGAGGGAGGGCGGGGTGTACCCTTCAGACTAGGTAAGACACATCATTTCATTTCATTAAGCGGATATATAAGCGGAGTAATTTTTACCAACTTTAATATACTTAACAGATGTCTGCAAAGTAACACCTGATTCTGTTTATAATCAAAATCGAGCTTATAGGCCATAACATCCTCTTACCACACTAAGAGAATTGTGCGCTCATTTGTTTCCCTAATTGCTATTATCAGTAAAATCTGTTCTAAGGTTACATGCATCATCATAAATACGGAATAAACAGCGATGGAATAACTTGAATCAGCAATTCGTGTTATTCCATAAAAAGTCGCATAAACCTAGTATAATGACCTTGTGTGTACTACACAAAGTCATTATACTAAGACAGTAAAACTTTGTTCAACATTTCCGTTTAACAAAATTCGTAAACAAAAACGTAAGCAAAAATTGTTTACGTTTGCCGATTTCCCACGTGCTCGGTAAACGAAAACATCGGGAAACCTGAATGACTAAGAAATTAAAATTATTACGTAGACATCTGATGCCCGCCGACGCGCACTGAAGCAACACATACAATTATGTTTAAAGTAACATTATTCTTACAAGGTAAAATTGGTTATTTTGCAAAAAAAGTTCTGATAATTATATTTTTGTATATATAATTGAGGGTCAACCGAGCATGGGGCTCACCTGATGGTAAGAATCGACCGCCCACGAACAACTATAACACCAGGGGAATTACAGATGAGTAGCCTGCTTTTTAAAAAGGAGAAAGCTCGTTTCTTGAAGGTCCTAAGTATCCGGAAAAATCGGTGGTGGTAAACGATTCCACAAAGTGGTCGTGCGAGGAAGAAAACTCCTAGTAAATCGCACTGTAGTGGACCGCCAAGCATTCAGATGTGGATGGCAACGTAAATTTTGTCGCATAATAATAATAAATTAAGTAGCATGAAGAATGAGATGAAAACAAGAAGAACACTAACTTGCCACTAGCCGCAGCAGCCGTATCGAGGCACTGTGCGGCGAGCAAATGGTGCAAATAGCCCGCGTCCGCGAACCTCTCCTCCGCTACCGCGTTTCCGACCAACACGCTAAACACGCGAATAGCTGTAGCCGTCTCGCCCGCCATGTGATATGCTGCAATGTTACATCATACACTAGGCAGCAGCCTAAGAAGAACATACAGTCAGTGATCGCGTTTGATGCTATCGATTGATGATAGCGATGACTGCCTCGTTGCTCTAGTGGTTGTAGTAGTACGACTGCTGATCATGAGGTCCTGGGTTCGATTCCCGGGTCGGACCAAAAATAAAACTAATTATTGAGTTTTTCCGTCAAAAAATTCTCAATAGTTGCCCGGAGTCAGGAAGATGACGGTGTCCACCCCTGAAGCTTAAAGCCGTTGGTCCTGCGTCTGATCTTTCTCCGGTCCTGTCGGTTTACCGTCCCATCGGATTATGAGAGTGAAGGAATAGAGAGTGCACCTGTACTTGCGCATACACTTGGACACTATAATCCTGTATAATCCTGCGCCGATAGCTAGCCTACGCTGAGGCAGGCCGCCGTGGCCGAAATTCGGTCTGGAGGACATTGATGCTATCGGAAAAGCCAACATAAACAATAAATAGCTAGGATTGAACAGAACAAGCTAGTAGTACCAGTTACTCGACTCCACCGAGTCAGTAATTCATTCTTGAGGCGATGTATACGCTTTTACAACAAAATCCCAGAAAATATACAAAATTTGTCATACGCAAAGTTCAAAATTTTTATTAAAATAAGATTGTATAAAAAGAGTTATAGAAAATATACAAAAGAGTTATTATAATATTAAGGCATTTATGGATTATAATAACCCCTGGGAAGGGTGATCGCTACCAAGCTATTTCTAATTTGTCTTGTGTTGTTAATTGTAAACATAATTGTAAGCTATTATTTGAAAAAAAAAATAGTCCCGTTGGGTTTCTTGATGGTTCTTCCCAGGACAGAGGTGTTTTTTTGCGAACCAGTGGTAAATGAAAAAATTGACTTTCAATAAGTAATGTTTATAATCTACATTGAATAAAAAGTTTCTATTTCTGTTTCTGAACAGGAAGTAATAAAAAAACTGAAAACAGATTTTAATTTATTTCACGTTTAAACAAATTAAATAAGTTAATCAGACAATTAGTGTTCAAAAATAATAAAAATTGGTTCCTTATCTTTAAATAAGGGCGATCCATATTTACCGCACCTGTAGTGTGAATCATTTTAATTTATTTGATTGACAACCCTAGTGGACAGCTCCCGAGCGCTGCTAGTTGCAAGGGAGCTGTCCGCTCGCTCTGCCCGTGTCTCAGCCCGCACCGTACTACATACGCTACAGATATATTATGATGGTATCTCGAATGGGTAGCAGGACTACCATCTTACAGAGTACCCGCATAAAATAGTAGCTTAGTGTTACTGTCTCGTATAGTGGGTGTGGAGAACCGGAGAACCTCATATGATACCGTTATTACTGCGATATACAGAATGAAAAACTTCTTTATTCTACACTTTTCTAGCTCTTTGGACCCTATCCCCTTCGATAAATCTTGAAAAAAATTATATTGGGTAGGTATAAAAGACAAGATAACCTGAAGTTCGATTTTACCCCAAATTATCCAAAAACCTGTCAACTTGAAGAAACGAATAAAGTCCTATCTATGTTAGTAGATTTGCCCTAAAATAGTACAAAATATCTAAAAGTGGAAAAACTCTACGGACGCACGGGACGCATTGGTGCTCGCGTTGGTGCTCCATAAACATTTTCACACCAAGGAGCTGGTGCCTTTTTGTTTTTTTAACGACCCGGTCCATACGCAGTAGTATAATAAGTCTATGCCTAAGACATTTTTCTTCTACTTATTATGACATAAATAAAATTTAACAAAAAATATTTCAAGCATTTAGTGCTCATACAACGCCAAGACATATATCATCATCATCATCATTACAGCCTATCAAAGTCCAGTGCTGAAAATAGGCGTCCTCTACATTATTTCAGAGTGATGATAATATTTGCTGTTGGTCGTTTAGCAGGCGGTTTAGCAAACGCAGTTTTGCACACCTCGAACGCGAAGCGTGAGAGGTTGGGCTTTACAGTCGACTAAGCCACGCTACCCGCTCTCAATAAATTAGTTTTTTTTTACTACTTTGATTCGAACACACGAACTTTTAAATTCGCGGTCCGCGTCCTACCATTAAGCTAGTGTCGCTTCGTACTTAAACCTAAACTTTCTTTATATTTTTCAAACATCTTTGCGTTGATATCATTTTTATGGTTGATCATTTTCGTATTCAATTCAAAATATTATTGTTGAGTTGTTATTAGGATGTTACTGCCCAGGTACTGTTTCAGTCGCCTCTTTCTTAGGACACTTACGGGATGTAGATTCTCTTAGGACGCCACTACAAGGCGTACGCAATGTGCGGCACAATGTGTAACTACTCGTAAGTCATGAAGACAACAATTTAATTTCCCTTTCTTTTTTTTCACAAATGTTGATACTGCCTTTGCCTCAGGACTCAGTGACTTGATCTCATCATCTAAGCAGCACATCCCACAATTGTAAATGTCATTCTCTCAGCGTGGCATTTACAATACGTCAAGCCTGTCAAATTTGCACTAGCAGAACCAGAAATCTCTCTTATACAACATTCCCATCACCGATCAGGATGTTTAACATCACGTAATATATGAAATGAATATATAACGCTATACCGGACGCCATGAGATCTTTCAGGCATTTTTAAATCGTCTCTTACCATACCGACGAAACAGGATGGGGTTTTGGTCTCTTATATTGCTACCACGGCTAGATTCCAATCGCATTCTTAAATTATTAGTAGTACAGAATAATAACAGTGAGAAAAAAAGTTATATTAAAATGGTACTCAAGCAATACCATAATTAAGAACCTTTCTGCGCCTCGATGAATTTGTTTTCATGCGCCATACGATGGGCGTAAGGTAGATACACTTCTCGTTTGCATTCGGAATGTTCGCGAGCGAGTGCGAATGCGTGCGACCATTCGCCTGCCGACACAGCCAATTGTGCGACTTTCCTGCAACAATAGTTACGAAGTTGAAAGTTAAAGCAGAGAATAAGTAATAGTACTACGTAGACGTTGTACTCCTTTGATGTTGATTGCTTGCCGACGTTCAATAGTCTACATAATTATTATATATATTTATGTATTCTTATTTATATATTCAATTACATAAATCGCGCACGCAAGCTAAATAAAAATTTATCGTTGCGCGCGGGTGTCCGTATTACTTTGCATCTTTTCCCCTTCCTACGTCACGGCAGGCTTTCAGTGGTTATTGAGGGCTTCACAAGGCTTATACACTAAATCAGAACGGTAACAGAGGGAGCCGGTCATTGGACTGTTATCTCGTTTATCATTTTTATCTTCATTAATATTATAAAATGTGAAAGTAGGTACGTTCGTTTTTTCAAATGTAATTTGATAAAACTGTTGCGCGCCACAATTAATGCCTGGTTCATGGCGACACTAGTTACCACTAGCGCTTTCTAGTATCGAGTAGGAGAACTAGGAGAGTCAAGATCCTTCTAGAAATTTTCATGGAAGAACTTTCTAAAACTAGTCAGTCGGTAATTGACTCAACTTCCTCGGGACGAAATGGGGTAGTGGGTTTTCTTTTGCCGCCATCGCACGCCACTAACAATAATTATTAGTGTAATTTACCCCCAGCAAAACGAGTAAGCAAGAGCTAGTTTATAAAGTTGGTAGACGCTGCACGCTACAGCAATATTATGGTTGTAGTATAAATGGGGCGTTCTCAAATACCAATTTCGTATGGTGTGTGTGTAAAGAACCGAAGACCTTTCATATTGGAAACTCTACTGTTTGATTGTTAATCAAGGATAGAAGTATGGGCCACAGCATTCACTTTCAATCAGGTACACTGTATGCTCGTTTCTCACCCTTATTTAAAAAAAATGTGCTGTCGGTCAGCAATGAAGTTCCTTACTGTCAGTGCGATTAAAGAATGGGATTGAAAATGACGTCGCCTCAATTCATCTCTCGCTCACACACCGTCACTATGTTCTATATTTGCTACTATTCGATATTCCTATTTTGACAACAAAGTTATTGAATAGTTCTCCAACCGTCGCCGATTCATTCCTCAAACAAAATGTTAATACTTACCTGTTTAAAAGAATTTAAATTTGAAAAAGTATTACCACAAGATACCGTAAAATATTTCAAAACCCTTGATGTTAAGAAAACCACGGATTTATTTTTACTTTATTACCAGGGATTTCCGTTACAGTTATTGCGTCCATAATAGATTTAACTGCACCTCATCTTGCTACTATTGTTAATACTAGTATCGAATCTGTAGGTTTCCTGATTTAATGAAACATAGCAAATTAAAGTAATACCTTTATTTAAATCTGGTAGTTCATTAGGCCCCGCTAATTTTAGACCTATTTCTGTACTACCAACTCTCAGTAAAATTTTTGAAAAGATAACTTTAGATCAATTGTTAATATTTTTTAATAAAAATAAATTACTCCATAAAAATCAATTTCGTTTCACAAGGGGTCGCTCAACGACAGACGCAGATGTTGAACTTATGAAATATATTTTTAATGCTTGGGAGAGTTCACTAGATGCCTTAGGTATTTCTTGTGATCTTTCCAAGACTTTCGATTGTGTTCGTTATGAGATATTAATCAGGAAACTATAACGTTATTGTGTCAAAAGTATTGCGTTTATACTTGTTATTTTAGACGTGTTGTTTAACAATGGTAGAGCCACGCGGCAGCTTTTGTTGTCACACGGATGGGCCGGTTCAAACCGGAGAGGTACCACGACACATAATACCAGCATAAAGTAGAGATTGACCTCTGCGTTTCGCTTGGCGAGTGCAGATGGCTGGAGGCCTAATTTCCCTCCCCCCTTAAGCCCTTAAGTGATGAACTACCCCAGGAGGGTGAACCAGCACCCCTGGTGACGGAGAATCCCTCGCTGGGCATCCACGACTAAGTTATCTTACTCTTCCTGAGCTTGGGTGCTTAGGCTGCCTCGCGTATTCTGGGGGGGGGGGGCAATTCCGCTCGCGACAAAAACTGCTCAGGGCAAGCAGAGCAACAACACCAAGGCGACCCCTGCCACGCTATCCGTGAATTTTCGCAACATCAGGGGACTTCATTCCAACTTTAACTCTGTCCGCAGAGATCGTGATCCTTGGCGATTTTCTCGAGGCTCGGTTCTCGTTTAACCGATCATGCGGGGAGATCTGTTTATGACTTTGCTTTGGCATATGGTCTGACAGAACTGGTTACTGCGCCTACGCGGATTCTAGATGTGGAAGTTCATACACCTTCCCTGTTGGTCCTTCTGCTGACCTCTCATCCGAACAGATATCGGGTTTCCGACGACGTTCTTTTAGGCTCCTCAGACCATGGTTTTGTTCAGAGTGGGGTGCCAGTCACATTAACGTCGCAGTTGCATTCTGCAGGCTGCCGCCGTGTTTGGCACTATAGGTCGGCCGATTGAGATGGGATGGTGTCTTTTTTGCATGCTACCAATGGGGGCGGGTTTGCTTCTTGCCGGACGATCCTAGTGTTGTTGCTGATTCTGTCGCTGATGTGGTACTTCAGAGTATGGAACTATTTATTCTACCCTCTATGGTGCCGGATGATCGGTGACACATCCCAGCCATGGTTTGGTCGCTCCTGTAAAATAGCATCACGCTATAAGCAGGAGTGCTACCGGGCCTGGGCTGACGCATTAACGTCTCGGGACGTAAACACTAGCACTCTTAAAAAGAAGTATAATTCCGCCCCCAGGTCCTTCAAAAGAGTCATTGCCAAGGCAAGGTCTAAGCACATCGGCAGAATCGGCGAAAGGCTAGTTCGCCTTCCTTCGGCAACCTGTGCATTCTGGTCTTTCGCCAAGGCTGTCCAAGAGAGCTTCTGTCAGTCATCTCTTCCATCTCTGCACAGAGAGCACGACTCGCTGACCCATGCTGAAAAGGAAAAAGGCGATCTGTTAGGATCTCTCTTTACGTCCAACTCGAATCCCGATGACGGGGCGAACATACCGCCGACCATCTCGCGGTGTTAGAGCTCCATGCTGGATGTGCGGTTTACACAGCGCTTGATTCGCAAAGCACTCTTCTCCCTAGACGTCAGTAAGTCGAGTGGGCTGATGGATTCCCTCCCATTGTGCTGAAGATGTGTGCTCCGGAGTTGACACCGGTTTTATCGCGTCTTTTCCAGTACTAGGAGTAAGTAGGCTCCCAAGGCGTAGTCCCGAATTCTTGGAAGAGAGCTTCGGTCCACCCTATCCCTAAAAAAGGCGACAGCTCAGACCCATTCGACTACAGGCCTATCGCCATCACCTTCTTGTTCTCCAAAATAATATAGTCTATTGTAAACTGCCAGATCATGAGGTACCATGAGGATCACCAGCTGATCAGTGACTGCCAATATGTTTTCGTCGTGGTCGATGAGCTGGTGATCTTCTGGTCTACCTGACTCATAGGTGGGCGGAGGCAGTAGAGTCCAAGAGGGAAAGGGGGAAGCATTATCCGTCAGTTTGAAGATAGCAAAGGCATTATAAGCTTGGCGTGCTCAGCAGAGCGAGACAGTATTTCATGCCGGCACATCGCTTGCAACTTTACAAAGCGCAAGTTCGGCCTCACATGGTATACTGTTCTCATCTCTGGGCCGGGGCACCCCAGTGCCAGCTCCTTCCACTTGACCGCATCCAGCGCAGAGCGATTCAAATAGTCGATGAGCCAGTTCTTTCTGATCGGCTCGATTCACTGGCGCTGCGTAGGGATGTTGCATCCTTTTGCGTTTTCTATCGTATCTACCATGGGGAGTGTTCCGAGGAATTGTTCGGATTAGTTCCAGCCGCTAAATTTCACGAACGGACATTTCTTCAAAATTTTCGATACCATCCTCACCATATGGATACTTAGCGGTCCACCACTGTGCTTTTTACTAGGAGTTTTCTTTTTAGTACAACTTCTCTGTGGAAATGTTTACCACCGGCGACTTTTTCGGACCGATTCAACTTAAGGACCTCCAAGAAAAGAGCTTACTCCTTTCTAAAAGGCCGGCAACGCACCTGCAATTCCCCTGGTGTTGCGGTTGTTCATGGGCGGCACTCACTCTCAGGTGAGCCGCATGCTCGTTCTATAAAAAAATATTTAAATAACAGAACTTGAAAAGTCGTTATCAATGGTAAATGTTACTGCGGATCAGTGGAATCAATGGCTCTATTCTTGGCCCATTCCTGTTCTTAGTCTATTTAATGACTTACCTCATCTTGTAGGGGACAATCACGATATAATATTTGCTGATTAATTTTCAAACTCAAACGACAGTCAGTTAATTTTGACAGTGTAAATAATACTCTATCGAAATTAGAACATTGGTTTAACGCTAATAATTTGCTCTTAAACGGCAATAAGACAAAATGTATTAAATTTAGAAGACCTAATATTAAACATTCAAATATCAATGTGCTGAAATGGGTAAGAGTTGAGTCTTGTGGAAAATATCGTTTTGCTTGATTACTATTGACGCGAATTCAATGGGTCCACCATATATGTGTAGATAACATAATTAGTTTATTTTAGTTGACCTATCAAACCTTACTATGGGGTAATGCAACTGCCATTGAAGTGATATGTATTTTGCAAAAAAGAGCCGTACGCCCGATTTATAACTTAAATTGTAGAGAAAAGTTTATAGAAATGAATATACAAAAAATATGTTAGTACTAAAACGATAATTTATAAGCATAATGAAATGGTTTTTATTTATGTAGTACTTGAGACAATCGTAAAAAAATTTTTTAAACTGAAAAACGAAAGCTAAAGTTTTAACTGTAGCAGAAACAAAACGTTTTTAAAAATATTCTGTATTGTCTATGGCAATAGATAATGACGGTTTTTTATCAAGCTTGGATGCTTGTCATTTATGCTATATCTTCATTTCATTTTACATATTAACTTTGGCATCGCAATATATTTATGAAAATGTAATATATGTAAGTCTCTCTCTCTCTCTCCCTCCCTCCCTCCCTCCCTCTCTCTCTCTCTCTCTCGCTTTCTCTCTCTTTATCTCTCTTTCTCTCTCTTTCTTTCTCTCTCTTTCTCTTTCTCTCTCTGTCTTTCTCTCTCTTTCTCTTTATCTCTCTTTCTTTCTCTCTCTCTATCTCTTTCACTCTCTTTATCTCTCTTTATCTTTCTTTCTCTTCTCTCTCTTTTCTTTCTTTCTCTTTCTCTCTCTTTCTCTCTCTTTCTCTCTTTTACTCTCTCTCTCTCTCTCTCTCTTTCTCTCTGTCCCTCTCTCTCAGGACAGGCTTTTTACCGAACCAGTGGTATATAAAAAATTACTCAATAAGTATTATGCAATAATCTATATTGAATAAAAAACATTAATTTCATTTCGTTTCATTTATGTTCACACCCGCCGGTAACGACTGCAAAAATATACTTTGCGATAAGCGTTTTTCATACGTTCTATAACTTCAGTCCAACTTGTCACTGGAATCAATGATAACAAAATGCCAAATTGCAAAAAAAATTCAGCTCGGTTTTGCGATTTTTAGTCCGAAATTGTGAAACACGATGCATTCTGACAGTTTTTATTATTCTTGTTGATTTTGTTTGTTAATATTTTCGTATAAAATATCTACATGCCATTGAGACATAAGTAACTATTTTAAAATGTTCGTTAATATGTCAGCTAATCTTTGGAAACACACATACATACATACACACATATGCAATAGAACGAAAAAAAAGAAAGAGAGGGAAAGATCGTTTGAACGCTTTTTCCTTGCGTGGCGATTTATTTCTACTGTAAGTCACGTAAGAGAACTTCGTTCCAAAAATATAAAAAGTAGGTTTACTTGTAGTCGCCGAGGCGCTGGTACACGTCCGCGGCGGCAGCCGGCTCGCCCACAGACACGAGCGCCTCCGCCACGTGCCGCAGTGACTCGCTTGACCCCTTGTCCAACTTACGCGCCAGCTCGATCAGCCTCCACAGCGGGAACAATCATTGATTTTACACATAGTTCAATTTAAATGCTTTTGCCAGCCATCAATACGAAACAGTATAGATATTTAAAAAAAAAAAAAATCCAAAATACAATTATTATTTAAATGTATCATAAATTTAAAATAATAAAAAAAAACATTAAATTATTAAAGAGAAACCAAGCATAGACCAGCAACGTAAGTATAATTTGCGGTGCTTTCATAGAGCATCGTCTCCGTAACTCACACCGGTGTGTGAGATACACACCGGTATGAATGATGCTTTGCGACGCTCTACGTAGCCGTGGTGAGCCGATTGTCTCTTTCCATGATGTGTAACATTTACTGCCGTGTACTATACAAGTAGGCCGTAGTAGCTCAGAGCCTAAGCGACAACCCCAACCAGCTTTGAAAGAAAATACATAGTAAGGAAACATGTCTGAGCAATTAAAAAAATATATTTCGAAGACGTGTGAAGTGCGCAAACACGCAATGGAGCAGCGCGGTCGGCATTTCTTTGTCCTAAAACTCTCTCAGAAATGAGCAAAGACCTGTGCCCAAACATGGAAAGTGTATAGATTGCAACTTTAGTTAATAACTAAAACAAAAGTTGTTGCGCGACTTACATATCCCGGCGGCCGTTCTCGGCCATGAGCTGTGCGGCACGGCGTACATCGCCGACCGCGAGGTACATCTCGGCGGCGGCACGCGGCTCGCTCACGTGCCGCGCCCACTCAGCACGACGCCGCGCGAGTTTCGCCAGCCCCTCGCCCTCGCCGACCAGCTCCTGACCACCACCACAAACACCATAGCTATTTATTCTGGTACACAGCTCATAATACGTGACAGACCTATGCTACACCTATATTATAGTCGTAGCACAAATGGGTCGGCTCGACCGGTACGAAACTACTCTCTCAGAATACTGGCGTAAAATAGCAGCTTAAGTTTTTGTACAGTGTGTGTAGAGGATCTGAGACCCTTTCTACTGGATACGAGGCATTTCGTCGAATAACTCACTGAGTTATTCATAAACGAGTACCACGAGTTTACAAACTCGTTTGTATTCATTCAACATAGATCTTTTAAACGTGGATTACGTGCGTCTCTTTGCTGAATAATGTAGTTTCGTTCTAGTGAAATTCTTAATTTATTCTGGACCCAGTATCTACTTATATATTTTATGTATTTTGTTACAGGCAGGGATTTGAGAAAATGATATCGGTTAATGACAGTTGACAGATCAACTGAATAATGACGAGTATGTAAACACCGATCCGAATACATACAAACAAACCTTTCATTCATAAAAGAGATCCATTAAAGAGTTTTCATGTAATTATTATTATATTCTAAATTTTATTTACTTCCTAATGCTAGAACTTGCGTTGCTTTTTGTTATTTATTGATTAACATTGTATTGTCTTGGTGGATGAGCGGGGTACCCAGTAATATAGGTTCCCAACCTAGTACAGGGGCCCTTGCGACTGGTTTAAAATGTATCATTGTAAATCAATAAATCATTTTTCATTTTTCATTTTCATTTTCATTTCATTCGCTTAAAAAACTGACACCGGTGGAGAGCAAGCGAGTACTCGGGTAAGTTGTTTACATGTTCGTACCCGTGTCTATTTGTCTGTGCTCAGCGAGTCCCTATTAAAACATTGCATAGTAAATAATCACTCAGGAAATCTAAGGCACGCCAGGCCGTACCCGCACACATCAGAAATTACTTTCTGGCGAACGTAAAATATTTTTCTACCTCAGTAGTTTTTCATATTTTGTGTATCTAGTGCAGATTATACACAAAATACACAAGAAATTCCGCGTGCAAATTATAGCGCGTGACAACAAGTGAACGTACGTATGTTTGGCAACGCTTTTGTAATTTTGTTTCGTCAATTCAAGGTCAGGAATACGTTAGTACCGTAGACTTCTCTGTCTACGGTTAGTACTCTTATCAGTCTATTGTCAGGAAGGACGGCAACGTCGCTTTACCTACGACTTTTGGTATTTATGTTGTCACACAATAATAAGTAATCAAATTGTTTACAAAAAAACATAGGTGTCTAAGGTCATTAGTTTTATGTTATTTTATACTGTTTTTTTAACGGTTGGAAAGGAAATTAACCAACTATTGAACTTAAGATATTGATTTATCAGAATTATTTAAGATCACTTGGATGCCATCTAGCGTGCCAATGTTTAAACGTCGCCTTTCGTTTGCTTGTCCAGTCACGCACACTACTAAAGAAGTGTCAAATTTTTCCGGGATTTCACTATTGTTTTGCTCAGTATATAATGTAAGTTATGGCCTATAAAGGTCAGACGCGTACACATTTCATTGTAAAGAAGTGATAAAATGATTAGTTTTAAAGAAAGAGTGTCTGTGTTTAGTGTATATTTTGGTTAAAAAATGTATGGGCGGACGGTCGACGCATCCACCTTAAACAAATCACTGGTTTTTAAACAAAACAACAACAAACAAAAAAGTGTACATATTCTTGTTTGTTCTAATACCACAAACCAAAAAAATAACACTAACAATAATTATTCTACACGTCATCACTCCAATCATTAGAATAAGAAACTGCAGATGCAGAAATCGATTTGAATAAACGAAAATTTATTCTATGTTTATACTATTCTTTATTCTTTATTCTAGGGCTGTGATTGGCGTTGACACTTTTTTTATAATGGACTCGGACAATTGTAGTTTTACTAACGTCAAGTAATAAGAATTTATTCTATAGAATAATTTACTTAATAACTTCTTCACGATATGTTCACGCGTCACATAGCCAGCCGACAGTCTATGACGACAGTATCTCAAGGCACTTAAGCAGACACATTACCTTGAGGTTCACATCACCACGGAGCACTTGTTTCTATAGTTTACATCGCAGGCAATGCACCACTTTATGTATCGAAATCCACATCAATTTACCACGGGGAGTGCTCTGAGGAATTGTTCGGATTAATCCCGGCCACAAAATTTCGTGAACCCACTACGCGCCAAACGTCTCAATACCATCCGCACCATCTATTATCATCTAGGATGCTTGGCGGTCCACCACTGTACGTTTCACAAGGAATTTTCTTCCGCGTACGACCTCTCTGTGGAATAGTTTACCACCGGCGATTTTTTCGGACCGATACGACTTAGGGACCTTCAAGAAAAGAGCTCACTCCTCTCTAAAGGGCCGGTAACGCACCGGCAATTCCCCTGGTGTTACGATTGATCATGGGCGGCGGTAGTCATTTAACATCAGGTGAGCCGCAAGCTCGTTTCCCCCCTCTTCTATAAAAAAGTCAAACCATTATTTACACAAAAAAAAAGTAATCCGCTGGCGGTCGTTTCCGGCAAAACTCCTCCCTGTTATCACTTGAGGACTATGAGGATAGAATGCTTCATTACCAGTACAAAAAAAAATAAAAAACTGAAATTGTTGCCAACTCGCCTGCCAATCGTTGCAACTACGAACACACCCTCCCCCCCCCTTTTTTAGGCAGTAGTGGATGTATGGATTTATGGACCACTTGGAAAAGACGCCCATTTTAAAAGTCGAAGCAAAGTCGAAGTGAAACTAAAAAGAAGATATTATGTGGAAGTTTAGATTTTAAATACCCCCCAATTACAAGAACTCTCAAATGAGAAGTTAAATATTTATATTTATATTGGAAATATCAATGAGAGAAACATATTAAGGACAAAAATATCTTGCACGTACCTGAGCCTTACTGAACATCCTTAAATCCAGGTACAAATTAAGTGCGCGGTCATCACGACCAGCGGTCTGGAACAAGTTGGCTGCGTCTGTATACCTCCCTCGATACGCAAACACTTCGCCTAGTATTACATCACGTTTTTCACCGGCTTCAAAACGTTCCTAAAATTGAAAAAAAATATTATTGTCATATATTATACAATATAGTCGTTATAGATTAAACATTAAAAATTTGCTTTGCAATAAAACAAAACAAATGTAATTTAAATTCATTAATTGTGCCTTAATGAAGTTAAATTATATTTGTCACGAATCCACGAAAAATTTTACGTGGTAGAGCCATGCTGCAGTTATATTAGTAGTATAGTTGTAGCACGAATGGGTCGGCTCGACCGGGGAAGGACCACGCTCTCACAGAATACCAGCGTCAAATAGTAGCTTAATGCTGCTGTGTTACGTATGTTGAGTGTAGAGAACCGGAGACCCTTTTTACTGGAAACGAGGCATTCCATCTAAGTCCTCACGGGTGACAACGCACCTGCATTCTGATTCGTAATCGAGGATAAATGTAGATGTCTATGGGCCACAGCATCCACTTACCATCAGGTGGACTGTGTGCTCGTTTGCCACCATATCCTATAAAAAAAATCCTATTGTACTATAGTTCAAGCTCCGTGCAGTGGCGGTGTAAGAATATTCACTACCCAATATTGTCCCGTGGGTGTCGGCAAGAGGCGATAGAGGGAAACTAAAACAGAAATTGGGATCATTCACAGATTTCATCATTGCTGCACGTTAATCACTGTAGTCACGAAGATCAATATTTTTTTTAATGGAAAAATACTGTGTAGAAAATTTTATAGCTCTTTAAATACCTGTAGTTGATCGATTAGCGTCAGGAAAGTAATATTCTCGCTTCGCTGAAAAGCTTTCCTCGCCACCTCGAAGGCGAGCTCCTCGAATGCCGCCATTCCCAGCCTTTCCCAATCCAGAGCAGTAACTCCTAAGCAGGCCACTGCATAAGCGTCACTGTAATCAATAAGTACTTTAATCATTTTCATTGCAAATTCATTGTCTTAAATTGTGCATTTTTAATGTATGAAGTTGTATTTACAAAACATTTTAAATAAGGAAGCAACGATTTTTTATGACTTAAAAAAATATATGGAATAAAGATTATTATTAAGAACATCATTTTTGAATCTTAATAGAAATAAGACGGGCGAACCTGGGCCTTACGTTACACAAGTGAAATATTTATCATTTTTTTTTTTTCAGTTTTTTTGCCGTTTATAATGAAATATTAAGCAGTTTTATCTTGGTATAATAAATTAAATACTTATTTAATAACAATAATACTGTCTTCCCTTACTTTAAACTATGCTACTGGGTGGAATAGGTTAATTAATTGAAAATAATACAAAAAAAGGACAATAAAAAGTTGATTTAGTGTTTTATTCTTTATATAAGTTTAAAAAAATGTTTTTTTTTAAATAACGGTTTCCTCGTGTCTCAAGTGGTAAGTAGTTTATTTCATTACAAGTTCACAGTTTGCTGGACCGTACGTCATTATTCTTAAATAACTTATTTTAATTTACTGGATGATTTGATGATCGTCAATTAAAGGCATTTATTTCAAAAAGTTATGTTAAAATACTACATGAAGCCACAAAATCTTAATATACTGAAGATAGCTTTTTTTTTCATATTAATAACAGGATTATAAAGAAATGAGTAATTTAATTAAGCAACAATAGGATATAACATAATTTACGTTGTATGAAAACATAGCAATATATTATATATTGCTATGCTTTCATGTGATCACAATACCGACAAGATATAATAAGAAAAAATGTAATTCAGAAAGACAATCTCATAATGACTTCGGCAGGCATTGATTTTTAACACTGTCTTCTCACTGTTGTCTGTACCTAGCCAGTGCTTTGTGGAACAAATGCTGCTATTCTATCTGAGTCTCACTAAATTCGATGTACATTATTTCTTGCCGAGAACTATAAGTAACAAACTAATCTTGTTGTAGATCAACAGTTCTCATCGCATTTGCCAAGGATGCAGGGATTTAATGATAAATTACTTGGGCGTAGATGAGCAGCTTGCACATCCAACAACTGGACATCGTCAAGTATGTGTCAACTGTGGACGTAGATCTCATTTATTGAATACTGACACTGAACGAGAAAGAAGGATTCATACAGTCATTTGTCAATGGATTTTGCCTCGTACTTTAAGTGTTTATTGGAATCAGTTGCTTTTTATTTTTTATACTATAGTATGGTAATTTATAGAAGTCCGATAGTCTGACAACCAGCCTTACCTAGGGTTCATATTACCCAGGGTATCATATTACCCAGTAACTGAGAGCTGTGGAGGTCAGATAGGCAGTCGCTCTATGTAAAATACTAGTATTCAGCTGCATCTGGATACACTGGAATTCGAGCTTGGTGTCGAATTTTGTAGTTGGGAAAAGGCTAGGCAGATGATAGTGGTAATTTATAGTCAGACAGTGTTATTAATACAAATGGTCACTTTGACCATGGTTACAATGTTTTATATATACCAACATAACATCGTGCCTGTATTCCCCCAAGGGATAAGGCAGAGGAGTGCAGTACAACCGAATTTTGCCAGTTATATTATTTTTGAGATATTAGGCTTATTATAAAGTTATTATTTCAGATTTCAAAAAACAAAGCTCTCATATGTCACAGTTGCTGGGTGAGAGCTGATATAAAACCCCATCTTTTGTATCTGCACCATCTGGATCCTCAACATCAGTATACGAAACAATTGAGCATGAGGAATTGACTTTGCAGTTTACTTCACAGGCTACTTACTACCCACGCTGAGTAAAGCTATAGTCTTACATGACCATGTAAGGACAGTAGAAACCTCGCGGTTTTATTGAAGGTTGCCAGAGACAAGAGAGGAATAGAGTTCCAGTTACAACTAGGAAAATTTTGTTAGATTTTTATAACTTCTTTATCCCGAAAACAATAGATTACGCAATCGCTATATTAATACGCAATCTTGGGATTTTCTCAGTGGAGCTTTAGAAAATTATGTTAATTTAATTACAGCAATGCATATTCAAAACATACTAGAATTAAAAAATAACTCAAATGCTAGCGTTGGTTTTATGAATATTCTAAATATGGAAGACCGTTTGGCGCACCATTGGTTAGGCTTTACGTAAGAGCAGTATCAAAGGATTTTAAATGAAGTGCCACAATTGCTGCAAAAGTCATCGGGCCCTGTTGGGTTGACAGCTTATTTGATAAAGCAGAGAACCGGTGATTCTAACGAGAGAATATCAGCTCTGTTTAATATTCCTAAAAGAACTCTTGATGGAGCCCGTCACTTAATTTATAAATATTTTGTACCTGGCATTTAGGACTTGTGTAGTTGTGACAGTGCCGTGTAGTGGCGGTTGAGAATATCCACTACCCCATATCTTCCCGTGAGTGTCGTAAGAGGCGACAGAGGGAGACAGGCAGGAGATGGGCAGCAGCATCTTCCTGATAACAACTGTGTTATAATAAAAAACTGCGGTTGCCAACCCGCTCGCCAAGCGTGGCAACTATGGCAAATATCCGCCCATGAATAACTAAAAGTAATAACTAAAGTATATAAATTGCATCATTTTTAAACATATAATATAATTAAAAGTTCATGAAAAAGTGTTAACAATCGGCTCAACACCGCCCTTTATTGTACGATCAGCTGAGTCGTAGGTAGGTCAAGGACTCGCCGTCCCGTCTCGATCATTTGTAGAAAAGAAGCAAGCGTTAAAATATTTTGTTGTTTAATTTAATAGGTAATAAGTAAATAGTACTAATATTATTAATTATATATTATATTATTATTAATTTCGTATATAAGTTTTTTATCATTATTTTCGTTCTGGTGACTAACACACGGCGATTATTGAATTGTAATATATTCGTTGCAAAAATTATATTGCCTGTTTATTCTACTATTAGTGTTAACTTTTAAAATACTTTTACATAATTTAGGTTGTAGATATATTCTGCTCACTTTACATTCTCTGCTCCGCGCTTATCTTAAATTCTGCTCAGTAACATATTATAACATTTAACACACACTCGCATTTATTTATTTTTAACCGACTTCCAAAAAAGGAGGAGGTTCACAATTCGATTGTATTTTTTTTTCTTTTTTCTCTCATTCTTCTTTTATAATAATTTACATACAATGCCGTCCAAGTCTAAAGCGGCCATTTTTCGTGAGGCGATAAAGGCAATTAACCAGCTGAAAGAAATTGCCTAGGCGGTAATAGCTAAGGATACGAAAAAGTATACTATAACGGACTTTACTGCTAGGTACGCCAAGCTAGAGGAACACAAGCACAAATTGGAGAACGTCTTCTACGAGATCGTGGATGATGAGGACCTCACCGATGAGGTCGAGGCCACCTATACAAAGAATTATGAGAAGGCGATTTCAGATTACAATCACATCTTAGTTGCGTTTGAAAAATTAAGTGTGGCTTCAGCTCTTCCGGAGACTGCTCACCCGTCCACGTCAGCCACACCTGCTCACGGTCTGCCCAAAATTGCTCTGCCGAAGTTCAGCTCTAAAATTAAAGACTGGCCTTCCTTCATAGCCATCTTTAGAAGTCTTACCAATGACATGACCACCATTTCGGATTCTGTGAAGCTTCATTACCTGCTCTCGTGCCTATCAGGCGAGGCACGCAGTATGGTATCTCATCTTCAGCTCACCAACGAGAATTTCGCCGTGGCCATGGATATTCTGACCAGACGATATGAAAACCGTCGCGTCCTGATCGACCGGTTTGTGGACATTATACTAGAGCTAACACACATCCATACGCGCTCTGATATCCGCACACGCTACTTGACTCCGCTCATTTCTGCGCAATGCGCCCTCAACAATCTCGATCTGCCCATGAAGGATAGTGACTACGTTTTCGTATCGATAGTAGTACGAAAGCTTAAGGGTGAGCTTCGCACCCTCTTTGAGCGTAAATATGGATCACGTCAGACTCTGCCAACTCTCAAGAATTTAATCACCTTCTTGGAAGAACACGCGCGTTGTGTGGAGACCGAGTGGTCCAGCCCACACTCTTCACAAGCCAGTCGGCACTCCCCACAGACCAACCAATACCGCAGGCGGTCCTCTTCTTCTTCTCCACAGGTTTCGCCTCGTCAACCCGCTCATCATCAATTTCGGCCCATTCACCCGACTACAAGTCGGCACGACTATAAAACCCCGCAGCCGGCTCCGCTCAGGCCGGTATACTCGTCTCAACCATCAGCTCCTGCCGCTCCCATTGCGGATAATATGCCCTGCCCATTCTGCAGACATAGAGGGCACAAGCTCATCGCCTGCCCGAGGTACAATGACCAACCGATCCAGGGCCGATGGGACTTCATCAACGCTCGCAACCGATGTCGACGCTGTTTAGGCCTTCATTATGAAAATGAGTGCAAGTCCACGAAGGCTTGCAAAGAGTGTGGAAATAGAAAACACCACACATCATTGCATCGGCCCGATGTTCCTTCTCCAACTCACTCGAATGCTCATCTTCTACCCTCGCATTTGAGAGAGCAACCCAGACAGCGCTCAGCTCAAGAGCCCCAACATTTTTCAGCACACGCCGCACATGTCAACCCCAGGCCACACAACAATGAACCAAGTCATTCGCGCTCTCCTAGTAGGTCTCGTGTAGGTGGTCAACAATGACTATCTACAATAAACGAACACTACGAACCAGAAACTAATCAGCACACTCACTCAAACTCAGCTCACACACAGAAATCACAAGCTTACTCTGCGATATCAGCTCCAACTATGAATAGTTATTTTTGCAATTCCGCTCAACGTGAAGAGCACGTTACCAATTTACCAATTTTATTGCCCACCGTCTCGCTAAAAATAGCAGACGTACATGGCCAGTTTCACACAGCTCGAGCATTGTTAGATTGTGGTAGCATGATAACACTTATAACTCAGCGCATGGC